TTCATTTGTTTGACCATGCGTATATCGACATGGTTAACCTTGAAACGTATAGATGTAACTTCAAATAACTACCAATCTGTTTTACACAAATACACTCTCCCTCGTGATATAGTTATTAGTTTCACTCAGGGCTCTCTACTGAATGCGGTACAATATGAAATAAGAAGTTTTGGTTGTCTGCATAACGATCTCCAAGCTTTGGAAGTTGTGGGCACAGCTGTGTATCACATTATATTCTGTTTGCCGTAAGGCACACATACGTGTCCGAAACTTACTGAAAGTACACAATATATTGAATAACTATAAATAAACTTTTATTTCGTCTTCTTTACTCTTTGTGTGTCACTCAGTGACACTTCTGAACAAACCCCCATTTTTGGTAACTGCCCTTGAGAGGGCTATTCTATTGCTCCAACACAATAGCGTGCCAACCAGTTATTCTGCGACAGAAATATGTATGAAAAAGTGAATTTATTTTTGAGATTTCGATGTTCCAATACAAAAAGTCGCTGTGAATAACACTAGAATCACCCTTTTCGGAATGGACCGGGTTTTTTACTACCTAGGTACTACACAAGCTAGCTAGAGGAATCTGAAATTGACCTAACTTTGCCAATAATCAACTGAGACAAGAAACTGTGTCAGGAAAACAAAAGAAATATTTTGGCAAAAGTTACAAAATAAAAAACAAGTTATTTTGACGAATTACGATTTTTCCTAGAACGGGTCAAGCAAATAAAATTATTTACGAGAAATGAATCCTGACTTTCGAATAAAATCGAATAAAGTTTATTTGCTATTTGAAAGGGAAGAAAGAGAAAAATATAAAGTAGACTAATAGTTTTACCCGCAAGAGCTTAAACAATTTTTATTGATTTTGATTAAGATAGATCGAGTAACTTTGGTATTATAAGATTGGTATAGACTGTATTAATATTTAAACTCAACTATTCACTAGTTTTAAATCTATTACTTCAGATGTAATCCAATTTCAAGTTTCATCATGATACCTATGAGTCCTTGAGTTATGGGCCAAAAACTATTATCGTTAGGTAGGTACTTCAAAAAACTTTTTAACATGAAAATCGTCGTAAAACTTCTGGTTCCCATAAAAAACATGGATCCAGCCAAGTTCATTTGTATAAGCTGAATTTTGCGTACTTTCAGTATGCTACTGAAATAACAAAAGTTTTTGTATATCACTTTTTGAAGTAGCCCAACTTCCAAGGATTTTCCTTGTGCGCCTTGATCAAGTAATTTAGCAATGTAAATCCCAATAAGTCTATAATCTATGTGAATTATACATTTTGAGTTCAGACATTACCATAATCGATGTTATTAGCATGAAAGCCGTCGAAGAGGCCAATTCGATGGGGATTATAATATTGTAGGACATTTAGCTAGTAATTTGTCACTCAAAAAAATTAAATGGTAATAATGTTTGGCTGCAGACATTTCGGAGAAATTGTTAGCCGCAATCGCGCAGCGTTTTCTATTTTAAAGAAAATTTTTGGAACGAATTCTTTCTTTGAGATTTTTTTGTGCAGAAAAAGACAGGTATTTGACCGCAATCGAATTAAGTGAGATATAATCTAGGATTGTAATACCTGCTTCCTTTTATGTGTCTTTCACAAATAAAATTGATAAATTATAATGTGAGTGATCTTTGATGTTTTATATTCCCTACACAAAGATGAATAGCTTCCGCCCCCCCTGAAATTATTTTCACGATAAACAGTATTATATTTTTTTCTTCAAGGTTCAATATAATATAAAACCAGAAATACATAGTTCAGATGCTTAGGAACTGACAGTTACAGGGTCACGATATACTACAGATGAACAATAAGTTACTGACACTTACGCCCGTATTTACTAACGATGCTTTCTTAAATGAAGCAGCAAATCGAACGCACAGCGTTGAATAGAACTCTGTAATTGGTTCGTGTGTCACCCTGTGCGTCCACTCGCACTGTGAGACCTCATATTAATGTTTGTGAATACGGGCGTAATACACTCATGTGAGTATTTCTCACGTGATGGCAAAACAAAAGAACATCCTCTCTCTTTGTTAACTTTATCTACCTTCACTGTCCTTCACGATTTTGACTTGGAATCTTGGACCGGAATTTTCTACGTGAATGGAATAGAGTGGAAAATCGTAAGCATAGTTTACGTGGCATTCTGTAGGAAAGGAAACCGAAATAAAACTGAATTCATTCCGAATTTGCCGAGTGAAATGTTTCTTACAGTTCCACCACATCAGACTCTACATTTTTGCAGCAAAATAATTCTTATTGCAGCTGAATAAGATGCCATAGTGTTTCTATGTTATGGCGTTAGGCTAACTGTATGTGCTGTCGTACTCATTCCAAAGTAAATGTTTATTTTTATTTTGGAGGAGGAAATAGATGTCTTCACCTACCAATAAAGATAACCGACATTTTTCAAGTTTATTTTACTTTCGTCATATTTTGAATATGAAACAATGTACAGATGGACTGATCGTATAAAGGTTGCAGACTACCTGCCTATATTCAGCAGTGGACGTCCTGAGGCTGAAAATATGATGATATCTTAAATTGACTTCGACTGTAATCGAACCCGGGACCTAGCAATCCCGATCGATAAACGGTCCAACGCGCCATTGCGCTAGCAATGTCTGGTCATTCCACTCGGTTTGTAGGTACCATGTTTAGAATCTTAATTTAGCTCAAACCTTTATTCTAATCACATCTAGGAGATTGTGGTACTTAAACAAAAAACTGTTTTCAGGGTGAACTTTGTATGAAAAATTCCGTGGTCGTGAAAGGAAAGATTTACTTAAACAAATCCAGTAGAAGATGCTTAATTTCTATCCGAAAATTTTTCAAAATTCAAAAGGCTGTTAATGAAAATGTACACAAAAAAAAATTTTTAGTGAAAAAAATTTGATGATCCTTAATTGCTTAGATAGTCAATTATTTGCTTCTAATTGAATGACAAGATTAGGAATTGGTTCCTAAAAAGTATGTCTATTAAAGTAAAACATGTAGATTGTAGCCTTGCAGATTTTTGAGTGAGCTAGGTAGGTACCTAGTACTTATTTTCGATGTTCTGAATAGACTTATGCCGGTGTCACACTTTAAGGTTGAGAACAGCACCACCTAATTTTAAACGTAACTATAACGATAACCGGCTCTTTATGTATGGAGTTTGACAAATTTTTGACGTTTGTTAAAGTTAAATTAATTAAGATGGTGCAATTTTAGGCTGGGCTTTTAGAGCCAATATTACTTAGGCACCCTAACCTCTAAATTACAGTCTAGGTTCCCATACACCAATGTGTATATCGGTTTTAGACATAAACGCAAGGCTGACTGATCTACACATTGGTATATTGGATCCAATACTATAACTTGAAGATAATATACCCAATGTGTGGCGCCGGCGTTAGATTCGACAAATGTCATTTTGTTTACTCACAAAAGACAAGTAAGAACTGTCTGACAAGGTAGCGGGCCAGGGAGGAGGATCCCCTCGCTGACCCGATCCGCAGAAAGCGAAGAGGTAGACGGAGAAGGCAATACGCTGCCCTCCTCCATCAACCTCTGGCAGCGAGACCGTAGGCATTGGGTCAGGGGCCCCGACGCCTACATTGTAGTCCCGCCAGTCTGGGGGCAAACATGCTCCGCCTTATTGCCTGAGGCCCGGCAACTGCCAGGTCGTGCGTGGAGGGGGAGTGGAAGTCGACCAAACGGGTTCCCACTCCTCCTCGACACACGATGCACGGTTTATGGTGGATAGGTTTAGTGGGTAGGGTCCGCTAAATAGGACGAGCCCCACACACCTCCCAGCAGCCCCTCGCGACTGGGAGACGGTGCGCAAAATGCATTNGGTTAGATTGTAATTTAACTACGTCAGATTATAATCTGACGGATTTCACAATTTTACGGTGACAGACATAAAACAAAAATAATATTTTTTTTATTCTATGCAATGACATACTGAGGTACTTATTATAACAAATTGGGTACAGTAAAAAACTAATTTACACCCAGTGTAATTTTGCACCTCAAGTGTGTCATATTGCCCGCTTCCTCCAGTGGTGTCATTTTGCCCCCTTTAAGTATCTAAGAAGAACAGCCCCCTTGGAAAGGACTGTCCCACTCCGAGTTAGACTGCTTTCCTCTGAGTCAGATTGCCTCTTCCTGGGGTCAGATTGTCTTTCCATGGAGTCAGATTGCCTCTTGCTGGGGTCAGATTGCCTCTTACTGGGGTCAGATTGCCTCTTGCTGGGGTCCTTCATGGGGTCAGATTGCCTATTCCTGGGGTCAGATTGCCTCTTCCTGGGGTCAGATTGCCTCTTACTGGGGTCAGATTGCCTCTTCCTGGTGTCAGATTGCTCTTCCTGGGTTCAGATTGCCTCTTTCTGGGGTCAGATTGCCTCTTCCTGGGGTCAGANAACTAAAAAAAAAAAAAAAAAAAGGTATACAACCGCCATTCAAATGACCGTGGGCGTTGAGTCATGACCGGTGAAATGCACCGGTTTTACTTTAGTTAACCGGTCAATTAAATGCGTTGTTTGAAACTAAGGTAAAATAAAGACTTTTCTCAATAAGCGTCACGTCCACATCGTTTAACTTTGCTAAGAAACACATTACCACTCCTTTGCGTCGCGCAGTCGGGTAAAAACTAAAAACATTAAATGCTTACCTAACATAAAATCTTAAATTGTCAATTTTCACATACTTTATACTCATGAAAATAACCAAAGCACAAACCTAAAACCTACCTATTTATTACAGTTAGGTATTTAAACTACACTTGGCACATCGCAACCAAAAATAAACATTAAGCGCGATAAAAAATCAAATATTGATCACGTAAAATAAGCCTACGATAACATCTTGTTATCTCTTAATTTAAATAAGGATAATCATCGCTCAAAAATAAAGCATCTCTTTATACAAATAAGAGTCATAATCGCTGGCAGAAAATAGATAAGCCGGGAGTCAGGCGAGTTATAAACAGTATCACTGCGGCTTGCGCGTGCGCCGGTTGGCAAGATGGCCGCGTTGAGGTTATTTCTGTTTTCGTTGCTTGTGGCGGTTGTTGCTAGCCAAGGACCCAATCCTGTGGTGAGAGTGACCAGTGGACTCCTGCAGGGATCGTGGCAAGTGTCCACTAATGGAAGAAATTATGCAAGCTTCGAGGGAGTACCGTATGCGCGCCCGCCGGTCGGGAAGTATAGATTTAGAGTGAGTTATTCTGGAGCTTTATACCTATTATTATGCATATTTTTGTATGTTTATTTTTACTTTCTTAAAGCTTAAGTAATAAGCAAAATCTTAGATTAATAAAATAATAAATATTTCGTTAATTTACAAAATAAAAAAGCAATGCCGCCAATAAAATGATAACAGAAAGTTGTGTAGGCGGCTGCTGTGCTGTGTAGCTTAACACAAGTTTCACAAAACCTGTATTCCTAATTATGTTGTGGACCCGCAGTTAAAGGCACTGCTTCACAACTTATTAAAACTTGTCAAGTTGCATTAAAAGTAACCTAACAAGTTGTATGTTGTTGTTTATAAACTTTTCGTACTTAATAGTAGGTACCTAATGTGTAAAATTGGCGCAATTTTGCAAGTTAACGGCAATAATTTTGGAAGACAACGAAGAGCTATTAAACTTAAATTATATTAAGTATGTTAAGTACTTAGTACCTCATTGGAAGCAGTTAGCTATCAGTCTTGGAAAGTTCAAAGTACAATTTAACCAGCCATTGAATCAATGTTATGTATCTATTCTATACTAGAACATCAATGTTTCTTGTTATGATATCCAGTTGTTATGGATATGTTTGAATGCTTAATTTTAATTTAACAAAATGAAAGGAAACGAATCTCGTTGATCTTTAGTTGATTATAAGTTTTTGACACATTTATCTAATCTCTCTCGTTTGAGAATTAAGTAAGACGTTAATTAAGGCCCAGAACAGACGGTGAAACGCAACTGCAACGAAACTGCAACTTTGTTATGATTCTGATGAATGAAACTGAAACTGAAAGTTTCAAACTGGTCGCGTCATGTGTGGTCTCTCTAAGTCATCAAGTAAAAATGATAACTAATAGTCGCTTACACGACTCCTTAGAATGACATGATATCAATTATAGTTATCATCATCATCATCATCATGCATGACCCTCTCTTATTTACCAGAGGCAAATGGAATATTAAGTTTACATAGTACATCCAAAATAATATAATACCAAATAACTAAAGTAATGAAGATTATGACACAAACAAATATAGCCAGTTCAGACCATTAACTTAATGATTACCTATTAATAATACATGACGTGGTAATGTTACACACATGTTCATTAATGATAGCGATACAAAATAATAATAAAATACCTACTGGCCGCAAAAAATACATCAAAAGTCCAGGAATTGTAGTCATTTAGTATCTTTTCAAGTTACTCAAGAAGTGTTATATGTATTATTATATGTAAGGGTCAAAATTCAGTACATAAAAGTCCATAATAGTAAAGAAAATGGACTGAAAGTCCAAATTATTTTTGTCTGAAGGTTTGCATAAAGATTTTTTTAAAGATCAAGCATAAAATTTTAAACGCACAAGAGAAATAAATATATTTTAATTTAAAATTACTTCAGCGTCAAATAGAGTAGTACAGTAACACCTAGACCCGTCACAGAAATTCAATTAAATTTCTCCCCGGCCGGGAATCGAACCCGGCATAGCAGTCCGTTCTGAACCACTACACCAAACGGCCGACAACTGTTAAACTCCATACAAAAAGCATCGTTTATTGTTACGGTTAATAAGATGGTGCACTCAGCCTAGGTGTCACGAATTATTTGACGCTAACTGTACCTAACAAAGTAGATAATTAAAATTCAAGTCTAATGAACGATCATTGTTAGTACTGTCACGCTATCCCAAGGTCGATTTGCAGGTACGCTAAAACTAAAACTAAACCAAGCGATAAAAACTGCATTTGCAATGTTATTATACAGGGTGTCCCAAAATTTGCACGTCACACTGATACCAGAGGTAAATGAGTTTAAGACGCATCTAACAAGTATATTAAGTCCATTTTTAAAATAACTATTAAGAGTAAGCTCTGGTCAAATGATAAGAAACTGGATAAAAGGCGTGTGCGGTGCAAAATTAGTAAAGGCAGTGGCTAGGTACGCAAAAAAAACCTTCTATATTATGTAAGATTTTTATGTATGTATTACTTTGTATTGTATGTGGTATGCCTCAATAAATAAAAACCAGTATGCCTAGACTAAATCGCACATATTTTCGCGCAATGCAATATTGAACAAAATACAACAATACAATATTGAACTACCCAATTCAATTTCTTTGTTCAAATATTCGTTGAAAACATAGGAACGTTTGGGTAGAAAAATTGCTATTTTCTGGGAACTCCAAATTATTATGGTCTATCTATCTCTAAAAATAAACATGCTCACTTGAAAGTTAGCAACAATTATCTCCCAACAATTACATTAAATAAGCATATAATTGCCTAAAACAAAGACTGTAAGAGAAGACAAACCTCTCGCAGAACAAATACGGTGTAATTAATATAAAAGGGTTTACTGTGTAAACTTAACAAAAGCCAGTTTTATTATAGTATGCGATGACGCAGTATGCTCATAGTTTTTTTTTTAAATCAAATCTTTTATTCAGTACTTATACACGTCCCAAATATTTCATAAGAAAATTTTACATGAAAAAAAAAACATACGGGTCGAATTGAGAACCTCCTCCTTTTTTGAAGTCGGTTGAAAATGAAACTTCTTCATACACTAAGGGTGGGTTGCACCATCTTACTTTAGCTTTGACAAACGTCAGAAATCTGTCAAACTCTATACAAAAAACACCGATTATCGTTAAAGTTACGGTCAAAAGTAGGTGGTGCAACTCAGCCTGAGTTTCATAACGGATTTTCTCCATAGGTTGCTTGAAAAATTTACTGCTCTATGAAGTAACTAAATACAAATTATTTTGACTCTGTTAAAATGTAGGACAATTAAATTTTCTAAATACCGTGTCTGAGTTGAATACAACCTTTGGGAAATTTCCAACACAAAATAAGTACAGTACATAGGCAATCTTTATCTCACTATAATTAATTGTACAGTCTCATTAGACACTAATCTTAAGACTTAACTACAAGGTTAATTCAACTCATACACATACTACGAGTAGTTCTTGTTTAAAGGAGTTTTATGGGACAATGTCTTACGAATCAGTACGAGACGAGAAGAAACGTTTCTCTTTTACTTCATTAATCATTTTACAGGTTTTATTTAACCCCATTAGTAGGTTTCATTTTAACTGTAAGGTTATTGCTTTAAGGGCTGATTTTTTAATCGTCGGATAACTTTTAACTGAAGAATAAAATTGTAATTTTGACATATTTCCCATACTGAAACTGTCAATGTACCAAACTTATTCTTCAGTTAAAAATTATTCAGCGATTTAAAATCAGCCCTAAGCCCAATATCTAGTCAGTTAGATAGAGTCTATCTAGATGATGGAATCAGACATTTAATTTTAACAGCTCATAGAAAATGTCATTCCCACCAAAAAATTTCATTTCCGCGGAAAATTAATTTGTGAAAATTGCAACATCTTTTCCTGAATAGCTGATGTAAAACTCTGAAACATTTAGAACCTAATTCCACCTATCAATTAGCCAATTAAGGCAACCAAATATTAATTAGGTATTTACACCCCGGTGAGTGGAAAATTCCTTTAGTGACCCTTCTGCATGAATGTGTCGAGGGTTCCATACGAGTAGCGTTAATTAATTACCTAACAAAGTCAGAATGGACCCGTTTGTGCCAACCCTGCGAGGGCTGTGTTACACTAATTGTTTGTTAATTAGAAGCACGTATCATACGCGCAAACTAACCACAGAGTGAATATGAAATTATTTGATACATAGTTGACATTTGAGTTATTTACATGATGTTTAATGTACAACTTGAATATAAATAGACTACAGTGAAATTCGAATCTACGACCTTTTCCATGTCACCAATCTCTTGTAATTAAATTAATTACTTTTTTAATGGGTTTAGAAACTTACTTACCTTACTTATCCTTATTACTACCTACCCAGATATTGCTCACGTTTCTTTCGACAATCATCATGTGTAAACATTTTATCAACTGGATTGCACAATGTGTTTACCCTTGACAATAAAACATATCTCTCATTTTAATCCATCATAATGGTTGCCAATTACTGAGCTTGACAAGCACATTTGTGAGGTTTACCACAACATTTAACGTGACAATGGCCTAACCAATAGACATACTTATTGGTACATGGACAACCTTTGAGGTAACAGTCTGTATAGGCAACGAACTATAGATTTACTGGACACTGGCTGTGCAAACCACACGAAGCCATAATAAAGAAAGAAAGAAAAACATTTATTTTGGTTCCAACTTAAAAAAATATAACACACAAATAATAAAAGTAAGTACAAGTTAGTTAGAACCAAAATTGGCCTCCGCTCAGCATGGGTCATTCTCTGAAGCAGTTAACCCTAGAACATGACGCTGTTATTCTACGGAAACCATAATAAAATATATAAATAAGGCCAAATCTCTCATCCATGATAGAATTGTCAACTCTACGTAGAATTCGAAACCCAATTTGGCTCCACGTCCTCTTGTTGCAGTTTTCTAAATCAGCATTTCCAGATATAGATACACGTGGCGATGCTAATCATCAACGAACTAACTTCGTAAAAATTTTCAAATTATCTAGCATGAACTGAAACGGAAAATGCCACTACCACGGTATCAAAAGTATCATATCTACTCTAAAAACTGTCGTAGGCGGAGCCGCGGACAAAAGCCAGTTAAAAATAACAACTGCGGTCCCAATACTAATTATTGCAAACTATGATACTCGCCAATTACTAGACTGCTTGTACAGTCAGCGACAATAGTGGTTCAACAAACATTATGTCATACCAAGGCCGCTCTCTAATGCCGTTATGCATAATTTTGGATTGTTGTCCTACTAATATTATCCTACTTCCTACTAATATTATAAATGCGATAGTTTGGATGTCTGGATGTTTGTTACTCTTTCACGCAAAAACTACTGAACGGATTTTGATGAAACTTGACAGTATTATTGTTTATAACCCAGAATAATATATTATATGCTATAATTTATGACGATCTGTGACATACTAAATTTCACGCGGGTGAAACCGCGGGCAAAAGCTAGTTAATAATAACTTATTATTGACGACTGCCTATATGTGGCCGAAATGTCTGTGTTTCTGGATTATAGAGCCTGGTTGAATTACCTATGCTAGAAGCAAGAGAAAAACATCATATAGAGATAGAGCCCACCAAAGCGTATTTTGTTATGAAATTAAACATGACTAAAAAAAAACAAAAGATATAAAAATAAGTAAAAAACAAATTAGCATCAAAAAGGATCACTGGCGGAACTGCCAGCAGCACGGATCATCCATCTCAAATGACAGCGACAGATCGATCCAAAATTCGTACCGTATGTTGGCGACAATGCCGACAATAGGCAATCCCAACTAATATTATAAATGCGAAAGTAACTCTGTCTGTCTGTCTGTCTGTCTGTCTGTTACGCTTTCCCGCTTAAACCTCGCAACCGATTTTGATGAAATTTGGCATAGAGATAGTTTGAGTCCCGGGAAAGAACATAGGATAGTTTTTATCCCGGTTTTTGAAACAGGGACGCGCGCGATAAAGTTTTTCTGTGACAGACAAAATTCCACGCGGGCGAAGCCGCGGGCGGAAAGCTAGTACACAATAAGCAATTTATACATTTACCCAATACACAATTGACAATAGGCTTCGGCGTCGAAATGCCGATGCGAGAGGTATTAATATTCATTTATTTTCTGTATGTTGGCTTTTCAAAAGCACCCTCACACACGTTCTAATTTGAATTTTGCATTATCCCTGCCACTACCACCTAAGTAGTGAACTCACTCATAATAGGACTTGACAATACCGAAGAAAGGAATGCCAATAATGTCCAATAATAATTACATTATAATAGTGTCTGGATACACAAGCATATGCATGCATGTATTTATTATTGTACATTATTGGTAAACCAATAAATAAATATTAACTGGAGTAGTACCTAATGATTATTCTGTGTCCACTTAACAAAATAATATTTTGCTGTCTATTCTCTCTACGACTGTACAGAGTGCCATCAAACCGCAAAGCATTTGCCAATTGCCGAATGCAATGTGTGTAATTAGAATTGTCCACTGAATTCAGTGGCGCGTCATCACTGTAACGTGGACCAGTTAATTGACTGAAATACATATTTATTATAATACAATATCCCTAAATTACTAATGTTATTGGTTTGGAACTTATAGCGAAAGTGATTAACTCTGACTGTTTTACATTACGCGTAAAGTTGCATGTATTATAGGTAGGGATGTTCCGATACCACCTAAGTATCGATACCTACTCATTTCGATAATACTCAAATCTTTTTTCGATACTACTTAAATAAGTACTCCTAAAGTATCGATACCTACTGATATCGATACTTTTTGGAACTTTTATTTTGTTTTATTATTTTGAGGGTGCTATCAATGAACGTTGAAGGACAATAATTTAAACAAAATTGAGAAGAAAACAACTATTTATTTATCGGTTTATGCCATGATAACATTGGAATAAACCGATGAATTTGATGATTACAATTAATAAAATTACTTGTAAATAGTGACTTAACACTTTCACAATGGCGGAATGGCGAGATGATTTGCGGGCGGGTGCGGGTGTCTCCTTCTCTCGCTTTCGGCTCGGGCTCTAGTAACTCGGTAACCGATTAAAGCTGATTAGCTGACTCTTTTTACTCTTTCAGTTCTGTATGATGCGTTCTCGGTTTTTTTTATTGTTTTCGGTTGTTTTGCTGATTCGATTCGATACCAAGTATTTTTGTTTCGATACCGATTATGTATCGCAAAATTGATTCGATACAATAAATACTTGGTATCGAATCAAAAGTATCGAGTACCTACTCGTATTTATTAGTATCGGAATATCCCTAATTATAGGTATATGAAAGATCTTCTGATTCTGATCTAACATACGAGTATTTTTTGTAATCCTACCTAAAAGTAAAAGTTAAACTTGATTTAAAAAAGACTGATTCGAAATTGACTCGTCCATGAATCGAACCGTGGCCCATTCTATCAAAAGCTGTTTTAACGCTCCACTGGCTGTAAAATTTTATTATTATATTTCATGCACCAACTGAAAACAATGTTTGTCCCCCACTTCTAAGAGCTGAAATGTATGTAGCCTTGTTCAAAAATCTTAAAGCATTTTTGTCAAGACGAGATCCTTGAGAAATTGCAGATTTTGTGATATTCATACTCGAAAACCCTTATCTTTTTAGCTTAAAATATATTTATTACTAGCTAAGGTTAGATGGGTACTTTGGTTAAAATAGTAGCTCTATTTTTCTGAAAATGGTAGACTTTTTTAACAGCAACATACATATTTTTCATCTTCTTTCTATAATAGTGACAGATTCCAATGGAACTCAGGACTCTCTTAGTAGTACAGTTTAATACTCTAAATCACTAGACTAGAATAAACTTATTTACCATCTTTAACTAGAAAACAATTGCCTCGGGCAGGGAAAACAACCTTTTTATTACAAGCTTTTTACAAGCTTTTTACAAGCTTTATATTGACTTCACTTGTTAGTATGTGTGGGACAAATCTTGCAACTGAATTTAACACCAGTTCTCCTCAACCGATTGATTGAGATTGATTGAAATTTGGTATACTTATGTAAGTACGATGACAATGCAATATTATGGTACCATTGAGCTGGTCTGATGATGGAGTCGGGAGGTGGCCATAGGAATTCCTAAACAAAACGGCGGAAACTCATCGAGTTTGGGTTCGTTGGATTTGTCTTTTCGAGCACTTTAGTGTTAGATAATGTCCAGGGTCCTGAGATTAAGATATAACTAAAAAGTGTAAAATAAAATTATAATAAAAATAAACTTTTTTAAAAACAAGCTTTTATTCTGAATTTCGAAAGCTTGTAGCGCAAACAGAAAAAGAGGAATAAATTCCATGCGCGATACAAATTTTCGAAATTCAGAATAAAAGCTTGTTTTTAAAAAAAGTTTATTTTTATTATTATTTTATTTTACACTTTTCTTATATAACCTTTCGAGACTGGGGCACATTTTCATAGAATTCACTTGGATCGTTACCATCCCATTCTATATTAATAAATAAAATTGCAAATTTAAATAAATATGTAAATGTATTGTTTATTTTACAGGAGCCTCAAAACATGAAGCCGTGGACCGGGACATGGGACGCTACGAAGGTTCTCAGCCCCTGCCTTCAATACGACCCTTTTCTAAAGAGCGTTACTGGTAAATGATTCCATATTCCATATGTTTGAAATTGATTTGCCCATAACTTTTATACCAAAATAAGTACATATTTGAAATAATTAGCCGTTTTAGCATTGTAACTCGTGTTTGCATTACCTTTATCTGAAAGAAAGTGGTTTCTAGAATAATGCGAGCATCAGGCCTCCCCAACCAGTGCCAACGTAGGGAGTGTAAGCCAAACCCATTGCTGTCATTTGATCTTCTTGAGAAAGAAGACACACTAATTTACAAACAAAGGACGGCTTTGGTCTAAACTTCCTACGCTGGCCAGAAAGGTCTTTTAGGATCTTGCCCATTCATAAATTTAAAGCACATATCAAAAGCACCTTAATGAAAAAGGGCTACTATAAAGTTGATGATTATATAAAAGACTAGCGGCCGCCCGCGACTTCGTACGCGTGGATCCCGTTTTACCCCCTTTTCCCGAATTTTCTTTGCTATAAACCTCACGGAGCCCGAGACCTTTCCAACGAATGCAAAACCGTGGAAATCGGTTCGTGCGTTCTGGAGTTATAGCGTCAGGGAGGAAAACCCGACTTATTTTTATATAGTAGATAAAAATTTTTGGAATGTTTAACTACCTAGCTCGCATCAATACTTATGACTATAATTTGTATATTTTAAAGACTGTAAACCCTTGAAAAGGAGGCTGACAATAGTGACTGAGTTTATTGCGCTGCTTCTTCTCAGCACTGGCCCATTTATTGTCCCGAAGCAGTGGTAGGGTTAATACTGGGACGTGTAAAAGTGCTTTTTAAAAGCCTATTTGCAAAAATAAATGAGTTTTATGAGATTTTTTATGAGTTTATGTCGTATATTAGAGGAATATGGAATCGATCCCATTGGTTAAGGAAGGTCACAAACTACATAAACGAATGCTTTCAGGTAGCGAGAACTGCCTCTTCCTAAACATCTACACGCCTCGGATGAACGCCGGGGCCAACCTGCCAGTGATGGTCTACATCCATGGCGGAGCCTTCATGTACGGCGCTGGGGGAATGTACGGAGCCGAGAACTTGATGGACAGAGACATGGTGGTGGTCACGGTGAACTACCGGGTGGGGCCTTTGGGTAAGACATCTTTTGGTTCTTTATAAATGACAAGAAACGAGACTGCATTACCTGCCTAGCTTGCTTGGTAACTTTATAAAAGACGATTGCCTTGATTGATAAAAAAAGTCGATTCGATTCCCGCCTTATAATATAAACAGTTCGATTTTTTCAAGTTATTTATAATTTTCTGTGTATAAAAGACCGTCTTTTGGTTCCATACAAATGACAAATGACGAGAATGCATGAATCTCACCTACCTAACTTGATATCTTGTAGGTTAATTGTGTTTTCTGTAATGAAGAAGTGGTGGAAAGGTAAGCTATAAGTGCTCTGAAAAGGGCCTAACACACTAATAAAGAACCTAAATTTGGGATTAATTTTGCGTAACGTTACTGTTTGTTTTACTAGGTACTTCATCTACAGACTTTTATGTAACTACCACTAGACAAACTGTCCTAAACAAAGGTTTTCATAGGATGAAATTCTGAAGCATGACTGAAATTACGAACATTATTAGATACTTAAATGTACTAAATATTATATTTTTCTCTAAATTGCGAGGATTACTTGATTGTTTACTCAATAAAATATCTATACATTATAATGTATCTTCCTATCTAGCTCTTTTTCACACTCCCAAACTTCGCATAAGAGAGAAAAGGCCGTCTATAGAAATCGTTTTAAAACAACTAAATTGGAAAATTTAAAGTCCAATCACTGTTGAGTTTTATTCAGTTGTAATACGAGCTATATTACAACAAAAATATAACTCTGATGTGCTGTCGACTGTACTTACCCTCTTCATTTTATACCTTAAAGCGGCTTTACCAGGAACTGTTTGGGATTTTGCGTACTTATACAGGGTGTTCACAAGAAACGGTGAATCAAAATAAACAACGGAAACCTTTGTGTTATTGAGACACGTGTAAGGTATGTGCGATTATTCGTTACATGCTGTTCTGCTTAAGTAGATAAAGCTATTGTGACCGAACGACATAATTTTGTACATTTCTACATGGGTTGCATTTGGGCATAAATGTCTGACCTCTCATTGGCCTCCATCGAGATTCTAACCCATAATTTGGTACTTAAAGTAAAATTAAGTTCACTAAAAAAAGAAGAGACTTACGAGTAGAGTTTAGGTTACAATAATTTAGCGCAAAAAATGTGGTTGGTTTATGAATATTTTTAATTCCATTGTAATTCATTTAACATTCTAACTATACGAGGCTCAAAAGAATGAATCACCTTACTGAGTTTTTTAAATAGCCATAGAGATTTATATTTTCGTCAGTATAACACCCTGTATAAGTAAACGCTTGTAACCCTTTGATGTTATTATAACGGCTTTTATTCCTTAAATACATACACGAGCCTACAAAGAGTTAAAATAACAAAACCGTTTGCGAAAACATTAAAATTTAAGCAACTCTATATGGAAGGAGGTAAAGAACAAAGGAAGTAGAGAAATGTAGGATTCGTATGCGACAAAAGAGTTTAAATAGGTGCCAAGATCCGTAACATGAAATTCCTATGCTAAATGCAGTCTTTTTCCATTAAAAAATTAGTAATTTGAGACACGGCTATTTGGCAGTATGCCTTTGCATATTCCTAAATAATTTAAAAATAAATAAAAAAAAACAAATGAACACGTTACTTTTCGCCTTTGAGAAAAAATGATGTAAAACAAATGAATAATTTTCATTTTTCTACATCTTTCTTTCTTGAGGCTTGATTTTTTATTTTTATGTGTTTAGGAATTTCATGCACTGTTATAATAAATTATTTGAAACTCGAGTGTTTTTCACTTGTGTATTTGAAATACCACGAAACTACGCGAGAATATGATTCTAATCCAGATACCTTCTCGCATAGTAATTACAGTTGATTAATAGCACAACTATTATAATAATACCACCATAACAACATTTTAGCGAAAATACTCATACAAATGAAGAAAAATCTGACTATTTCTTTTACCTATCCACGCAAAACTTAACTCTGAATTGCTTCACTGCATAAATGCGGAAAATGCACACCGTTATTCACTTGCTATAAAAGAGGTTTTAAGTTTCTTGGCATGGATTAAACTTACTGAAAATTGCTTATTTCTTTACCCTCTGAACTTTTTAAATAAATAAAAAAACAATTAGTGCTGCCATACTTTAGCAACTGAGGTTGACGTTTCGTGACCTACTTAAAAGTTCTACGAATACCTACATTAAAGATTAAAACTCCGGAATGAAAATGTTCATTGGATAAAAAGATACAGTCGACGGCACATTAATGATTGGAATCTTACCATAAAATTAATTTACAATTAATAAAGGTATTCATCATTTTCTTGTGTTAAAACCGTGTTTTCATCTTGCTGCACTCACTACATTATACCTAGTGGTGTAGTAGCAGAAATCTTATTCCAAATATTATAACTAACATAAGTGCAAGTGGAACTTTTCCAAATCAACTAACGAATTAGTCATTTAAGCACGTCCAAAGGTTTTTTCCAATGTTTTAAGTTTGAAGTTCGTAAATATAATTTATTACATTATATATTAATTAGCATTATTCTTTTCAACTTTCCTAATTTAACTTTGGTTAGTTTAGTAAATCAATGAGTTCGAAGTTAGTTACTTAGCGAAAAATCTGTCGAGAAATTCCATTATGTATGATTCAGAGAAACCTAGTTTTCAAGTAGATCGGTCACCTACCTTGGTCTCGAGAGTCATAAAAAAACGTGCTTATGAATTTCAGACCAATTAGATCGTTTCACGTCTTCATTGTACGTCTAATTTGCCTAATCGCTTATAATCGCCTGAAATGTAGAGTAATATCGTAATAGCAATAGCGAAATGGTACTAACTACTATAGTCTAGCTAGGCGAAGGGGACTGAACTATCCTAGGATCGATATTTAATTATCGCCTTTATTCTTTTCAACCCAAAGACGTCTATTTCTAGACAAAGCCCCAAAGATTTCCACAACAACCTTTCCACCTGTCTTATTATTATTTCAACTAGCGGCCGCCCGCGACTTCGTTCGCGTGGGCCTCGTTTAGTGTTTTACCCCCGTTAGATATCATGTTGATAGATGGCGTTTCACGGCTTCCCCCGAATGAATATTTACGAACGTCATACAGTAGTTTGTCCAGCGCTGTAGATTTTAACCAATGACGATAGATAGATGGCGCTTTTTAGACACGTCTTATTTATTTATTGAAATAAAATTTATTTGTCACATATCGTCATAAGTTAGCCTATATGTTAATCTGGGTTATAAACAATAATACTGTAAAGTTTCAACAAAATCCGTTGAGTAGTTTTTGCGTGAAAGAGTAACAAACATCCAGACATCATGACATCCAGACATCCAAACTTTCGCCTTTATAATATTAGTAGGATAAAATTAACTGGCTTACCTTTCCCAGGTTTCCTTAGCACCGGCGACGAGCAGGCCCCAGGCAACTTCGGGCTGAAGGACCAGTCGTTCGCGCTTCGCTGGGTGCAGCAGAACATTATGATGTTTGGCGGGAACCCTGACAGCGTCACGCTGACCGGCTGCTCCGCTGGCGGCGCTAGTGTGCACTACCACTATCTGTCGCCTCTGTCGAAAGGTAAAATATTATTATTTTAAAATATAATAGGATAGAGGTAAGGTAGCCAGTTCCTCCGTGGTTGAGGATTCCGGGTGAAGCTCGCTTCCAACTTCGGCCTGATCGTCACTTACCATCAGGTGAGATACAGGCCAAGAGCTTCCTCGTTGTGGATAAAAAAAAATCTATCCACCCTAAACAAATTGATATGAGGATATTAGTGAGAAATGTCGAAGGCGAACGTTTGCGAACGAACGCAAGCAAAGCTCAGTTTCTGAGAGAACATTATGACGTTTGGCGGGAACCCTGACAGCGTGACGCTAGTGTGCACTACCACTATCTGTCCCCCTGTCGAAAGGCAAAACAGCATTATCCTAAACGTATTTAATCAATCCAACCTAAACGAAGCCTAATTGATATTAGTGACATAACATCGTAGCTAAGGCGAATCTTTAACAAGCAGTTTTTCTGAGCGAACATCATGATGTATGGCGGGAATCCTGTCAGCGTGACGATACAGTATTAAGAGTACATTCCCTTCAGTGTGCCTACCATGAGTTTACGTTAGGTGTGCTCGCTAGCGACTGCGTAAAAAAATGACATTTAAATGTATGACATATTGTGCAGCGCCCCTAGTGGCTACTTTCAAGAAATAAAATCTTCATAGAATTTTTTGACGTATTCGCTAGCGAGCTCACCTAACGTAAACTCATGGTAGGCACACAGGTGGCATCACAAAATTCCACCCTGTATATCCACCCTAAACGAAATGTTATAAGTGAAATTATATCGAAGGTGAACGTTTGCTAACGAAGAAAGCGAGCAAAGTTCAGTTTCAGAGCGAACATCTTGTGTCTGAAACAGATAAGCAATTCCAGGGAATCGTACGAAAAAAGTCAAACAACTACACCTACGTCTGTATTAAATACAAATATTTATTAACACAACAATACCATAATTATACTTTGATATCAACTTGAACAAACAATCAAGAAAAAAATCCTACCCACTGACCTGCAAATAGGTACTGCCGTAGACAATGGCACCTTGATCTGCGGACAAACAAACAGTCATCAACACAAATGTTGATTTTGTGTATGTGCATTGCATACAGATGACTCTTAATGGTATCACTACGAGTAGACTCGGATATCATCGCAATAGCAGATAGGTAGGTACCTGCTATTAAAACTTGCTACTAGATAACCTTGCAATACGTGATGCGCTCTCTGCCATCACGGCGTATACTGAGCTGATGCCATTTTGGTGCTTGTAGACGTTCTGTTGTCTAGTTTTAGTTATTATCCTGCTGTGTACCTACTTGCATCGAATAAATATTTTTCTTTCTTTCTTTCTTTCTTTCTTTCAATATTTTTATGATGATACCGTTTTGCAGAAGCCAAAAATATCTTACTACTGTATTCTAACATTTTTATGAATACGTTATTGTCTATGGAAAAAAATCTTGATGAAAAGTTATAAGTTCGTTCGTTTCAGCCGAAAGACGTCCACTGCTGGACAAAGGCCTCCCCCAAGGATTTTCACAAAGACCGGTCCTGCGCCGCTCGCATCCAGGCACCTCCCGCGACCCTCACCAGATCGTCGGTCCACCTAGTGGGAGGCCTGCCCACGCTACGTCTTCCGGCTCGTGGTCGCCACTCAAGAACTTTCCTGCCCCAGCGGCCATCAGCTCTTCGAGCTATGTGCCCCGCCCACTGCCACTTGATTTTAGCGATTCTGCGGGCTATGTCAGTCACTCTGGTTCTCCTACGGATCTCCTCATTTCTGATTCGATCACGCAGGGAAACTCCGAGCATAGCGCGCTCCATCGCTCTTTGGGTGACCTTGAGCCTACTTATGAGGCCCATAGTAAGCGACCACGTCTCAGATCCGTACATAACAAGTACCGTACATAAGATAAGTACCTACGGAATAACATAGTCGTAAATTCTTTTTGTCAAAAGAGTTTCAGATAAGTAAAATTATTTAATGTAAAGGCCCTTTAAGTGAGTTAAGTATCATCTATCTATGCTACAGTTATACTAGCCACTGTAATTAAAAAACTTACACACTAACTAACCTAAACCTTCTCATTTAAATTGTTAGCTAATTTGGTTATTTTATTTATTTTCTTTCTGGGGGCACGGCAGTGCCCCCGCCAAGTCGAGCGCGAAGCAAACACTGCCGTACCATCCTTTACTGGAACCATTTCGCCGCATTTTTAGGCCCCTATTTTGAGAACCTCTGGATAAGACCAGAACGCAGAAATTTTCGTCATCTAGTAAGCTATAATCACATACTTAAAATCCAAAATTTCAAGTCTGTAGGTCATTTAGTTCCGAAGTTATGCGAAAGCAAAGTTTCGCATTTACGACACTCACTCACTCACTCACTCACTCACTGATGATCATCAAAATAGAACTATGTAGTACTTCCCATCAACTCAGAGAGCTGAAATTTGGTACAGAGTTAGGGTTTAATAGCCACATAAAGGGAAAACTATAAAAACTAGGAAAATCGAAGATCTGGAGTAACACCACATTCATAATCAATACTACTCCGGCACCGTGGTGTTCGCCTGTATCGCTCACCGCTAGATGGCGCTAGCGGCGTCCAAGCGGTGTCCAGATTTTTTCCTTTCTAGAGCCCCCCGTCGATTAATTAAGTTGATGTTGTGTAAATTTGCAGTTCGTTGATTTCGTTTATTATATTGTAAGGTTCGCTAAGGTTATGTTATTAAAACAATTCTGATTCGTTGTCCATTTTAAAGGTCGTTGAGTTTATTTGTGTTTAATATCGTAAAAAAATATCGATAAAACGACGACGTTAAATAATTTTGCCACTTTCTACAAAAAGAAGTGAAATCCCACTAAAAACATTCTGTAAAAAACTAGCCAAGTCTTGATGGAGCTGCTTGTTTATCTCTAAAAAGTAATGAAATCTAGACAAAGTCGTGCCAAGTCTATGGTTCCTTACTGCGATTTCTTTATTATTATAATTAATGTTGTGTGACTTGGCCGTTGAACAATCTTTATTAAGATAATCATACATAAGTATTATTGAAATACGCAGCTTTATTAAACCTACAATTGAATGGTTATTGTTGAATCAACGTTTTCCAAGTGGCAATTTTCCATCGTCAATGGGTAGCGGTTCTGGCGACAGATTGGTGCAATGGTATCATGGAGCACCTGGTTTTGTACCCTTCAACGGCCAAGTCACACAACATTAACTATAATAATAAAGAAATCGCAGTAAGGAACCATAGACTTGGCACGACTTTGTCTAGATTTCATTACTTTTTAGAGATAAACAAGCAGCTCCATCAAGACTTGGCTAGTTTTTTACAGATAAATTTTACACACTCAAAGGGCTATTGCGTACGTCTTTTGTCCTCAAAAAGTCATTGCCCTGTACCTTCGTTATCACAAAGGATTTATCTCAGTACATTCACTTGTTAGTTTATTGCGGTATTCTAACAGTAAACAACTCATTATTTTCTTAAGAATTAACACATCACTCTAGAATAACTCACACCGCTCTATTTACAAGTTTAAAATACAATAGACCTGGACAAAGTTACTCTATTTATTCACAAGTTAAAACTGTACAAGTTTCCAGTACCTCCAGTTTAACATCCTACAGGATGACCAATACATAAATTGCTTCACAACGTGCTTATCATGTTACTAGCTGACCCGGCGAACTTTGTTCCGCCTTAATGGCAATAAATAAGCAGACTTTTTTTTATTTCGAACGGGATAAAAAGTATCCTATGTCCTTCTCCTGGCTCTAAACTACCTCCCTGACAATTTTCAGCTAAATCGGTTCAGCCGTTCTTGAGTTATAAGCGAAGTAACTAACACGACTTTCTTTTAACGTCTTCCATTAATTCTGTTATAGAATGCTTATGCAAAATTTTAAGTAGATTGGACGAAGGAATCTCGTTATTTCATACAAACTTTGCCCCTCCTTTTTACCTCCTTAGGGGTAGAATTTTGGAAAATCCTTTCTTATCAGATGCTTACGTCATACAAAGAACATACCGTCCAAGTTTCAGGTCTTTACGATCAGCGGTTTAGGCTGTGCATTGATCCATCAGTAGCGCGCGTAGTACTTGATCATTATTTTGCTGCGATGTGATTTTAAAACTGCGATATCTCCTAAGATATTTAATTGAAATCGAATGGTGTAAAGGGCAAGAATGTTTAAAATTAAATACTTGTGGTGAATAATTTATTTATTTGGATAAGGATTAATATCATGTTTATAAAAACACCTTCGCAAATAATGCATTATTTTAAAACAGATTTTTTTTGCATAAAAATGGTTACTATGAGCCAACCTTAAAAGATAGACATATGCTACCGCGGACTTTTTTAAAGAACTTTTAAAGGGGAACAATCCTGTCATACATGATTTTTGCGAAACTTTAACCGTTTACGCAGCGTCAGCTCTCAAAAGGAAAAAAATCACCGATTTGAAATATTATTGATTGGTGCTCCGCTCCTATTGGTCTTAGCGTGATAATAAATAGCCTAAAGCCTTCAGGAACTAACGGGCTATCCAACACAAAAAGAATTTTTCAAATCGGTCCAGTAGTTCCTGAGATTAGCGCGTTCAACCAAACAAACAAACAAACAAACAAACTCTTCAGCTTTATAATATTAGTATAGATTAATATAATACTTAATATGCTCTACAAATGAAATACTCCTCCTTCTCTACACCCGCTCTGAAATAATGTCGTAAAAAACTCATAACAAGCAATTCCAAGAATTAGACATACTTGGGTCTAATTTAAGTAAGTTTAAAAAACAAATCCGGGATTTGTCTTGTGGCAACTAAATTGCGAGCGTCAGGTGATGTTTGCAGTTCGCTCCTTTATTAATTAGGTAGTTGATAATTTTTCTTTTGTCACTTTGTTTACTTTTTTTATATAAGTTTATATTTTTCACAACAAAATTTTATTCATAATGGTTTGCCCAACTTTATGTGTATATTTAACTGTGGAAACTTAATTGGTTTATGTGTTTTCTTACTGCACCTAAGTTAAATTATATTGTAACTGTATGTTTCCCAAAAAATAAATAAACAAAACTAATGTAGGTTTTTAAAAAGCACTTTTACACGTCCCAATATTAACCCTACCACTGCTTCAGGACAAAAAATGGGCCAGTGCTGAGAAGAAGTGCTAGACTGCATCTCACTTAACACCAGGTGCGATTGCGGTCAAATACCTGCCTTGGCTAGCATAAAAAAAAAAAAAAAAGAAGCAGCGCAAGAAACTCAGTCGGAACAACTCGGGGCCTTCAAAACTAACATGAGATTATTCGCCGACTCAGTCAAGTCAGTTCGCCTGCTTTCGTCAGAACATAGAAGATATTTGCAGAAGCTATCAGAAAGTGCTAAAATACACTCAGCGGCACGGAATTTGGCCCAAGCCTAAACAACCAGATATGAGGTCAAATAGGTGTTGTATACCTAAGTTTCGTGTGAAATGTTAACAGAACATTTGTTTTTGTTAGTTTAAGAGGCTAGATTAATAAAAAAATGCGTCTGTTTAACTTTTTTGACTCTAGAAACGCATTTCGTTGTTGGAGCGTAAAGAGTACGGTTAAGTTTAAATTCGATATTAAATGTTGTAAGGGTTTGGAGTTTTGTTTTTTGTTTTTAAATTGATCTTAGGGTTATTCTTGTTTCCATAATTTGAGAATAATGTCCATTACTTCAGCTCAAGTTACTCAAATAGTGTTGCTTAGAAGTCAAGGGCGTATGCAGCGAGAGATGGCTGAAACTTTCAATTTATGGCGTACAAACTTAAGATACACGTTAAAAAGGCATGACCAGACCGCCTTTTACATGAGAAGACCAAGAAGTGGGGAATTAAGGAGTAAATCAGCGCGCGATGACCCGATTATCGTGCTTGCAATATCAAGAAATCGGGTTCTAACTACGTTTGAGATACGCCAGCGTTTACAAACAGCAAGCCCAGTGAATGTCAGTGAGCACACAATAAGAAGAAGGATGGAGGATCATAACCTGCATACTCGAAGACCAGCTCGAGGACTATAACTTCTCCGACACCTCTGCGAAGTGCGACTTACGTTTACCAGAGAACATCCAAATTGGACGCAAGGCTAATGGAGTAAAGTTCTATGGATCGATGATTGCAGAGTCACCTTAAGAGCTCCAGACGGCCGTGGAAGTGTATAGAGAAGGTGCGGAGAAGAGTTACTACGCAAACAGACAGTTTTCATAAAGATTTTACTCCATTAGTCTAACGTACAATTTACTTGTTCTCTAGAAAACGTAAGTCGCACTTCGCGAAGGTATCGGAGAAGTTCTGGTCCTCGAGATGGTCTTCGAGTATGCATGTTATGATCCTCCATCCTTCTTCTTATTGTGTGCTCACTGACATTCACTGGGCTTGCTGTTTGTAAACGCTGGCGTATCTCAAACGTAGTCAGAACCCGATTTCTTGATATTGCAAGCACGATAATCGGGTCATCGCGCGCTGATTTACTCCTTAATTCCCCACTTCTTGGTCTTCTTATGTAAAAGGCGGTCTGGTCATGCCTTTTTAACGTGTATCTTAAGTTTGTACGCCATAAATTGAAAGTTTCAGCCATCTCTCGCTGCATACGCCCTTGACTTCTAAGCAACACTATTTGAGTAACTTGAGCTGAAGTAATGGACATTATTTTCAAATTATTGAGACGAGAATAACTCTAACATTAATTTAAAAACAAAAAACAAAATGCCAAACCTTTACAACATTTAATATCGAATTTAAACTTACCCGTACTCTTTACGCTCCAACAACGAAATGCGTTTCTAGAGTCAAAAAAGTTAAACAGACGCATTTTTTTATTAATTTAGCCTCTTAAACTAACAAAAACAAATGTTCTATTAATATGTCACACGAAACTTAGGTATACAACACCTATTTGGCCTCATATCTGGGTGTTTAAGCTTGGGCCAAATTCCGTGCCGCTGAATGTAGAAATGTTAATACGATTTTACGTAAAGTAATCCTTTAGATCTAGTTAGTTTGGAAACTTTGTTTAGATAATCTAGGATAATACCAAGTCTTAATTAAAACTCACTCTGTTTAACTAACGGCTAACGACTTCCAACAAACTACCAGTGGAATTATGTTTTATTCTATAGATAGGTACTAGCTTTCCGCCAGCGGCTTCGCCCGCGTGGAATTTTGTCTGTCACAGAAAAACTCGCGAGCGTCCCTGTTTCAAAAACCGGGATAAAAACTATCCTATGTCCTTTCCCGGGACTTAGACTATCTCTATGCCAAATTTCATCAAAATCGGTTCAGTGGTTTAGGCGTAAAAGCAAGACAGACAGACAGAGTTACTTTCGCATTTATAATATTAGTATAGATCTAGTTTCTAACTAATCCTAGATTTAAAACATGTGCTCAGTGGACTTTTAGATTTATCGAAAAGTTGTCTATTTTCACGTAATATGAAGGGAATCATGTTTAGAGTTACATTTAATTATAACTGAGAGTAACAGGACTTAGAGGCGTCATTTATTATTTGGGCGACATTTATATTGAATCCTATAATTTTTGCACGTCTGCGATCAGACTAAACACATGATCCTATTTTAATATTGTCACCCTGTATTACTGTGTTTTTAGCAAATAAACGTTTTGAATTTGAATTTGAATTAGCGCATGTGTACTAAACTGCTTGACGTTTCCTACGACTTATTGCTAGGAGTACCTACATGTAGACTCAGTTTTAATGGAACCCGAAAGTTTAAAGTAACGTTCAGAGGGCTGAGTGTGAGCTCACTAGGGCGCTCACTAGTGAGCGCGTTTAAAAAATGTATGATATATTAATTCTTGAAAGTTTCCGCTAGGGGCGCTGCATTTTTTACGCGCTCACTAGTGACCGCATTTGATATAAACTCACACTGATGATGAACATTGATGACAGTTACAACAGTTAGGCTGGGTTGCACCGTCTTACTTTAACTTTGACAAACGTCAAAAATCTGTCAAAATCCAAATACAGCTGTTATCGTTAAAGTTACGGTCAAAGTTAGGTGGTGCAACTCAGCCTTACTTTATTTTATTACAATTCCCCAGGTACCTTCATCAGAGGCATAGCGTTCAGTGGCTCAGCCTTCATGTCGTGGGCACACGCCGTCAAACCTGTCCAGAAGGCGAAGACCCTGGCTGGCATCGTGGGCTGCCCATCCACCACCACCAGGGAAATGGTGGATTGCCTCAAGTACAGGCCAGCTGAAATGCTCGTCAACGCACAGATCGAGATGTTTGTAAGTGTTTTGTTATTACTCACGCCCGTATTCACAAACATTACTATGAGGTCTCACAGTGCGAGTGGATACACAGGGTGACACACGAACCAATCGCAGAGCTTTATTCAACGCTGTGCGCTCGATTAGCTGCTTCACTTGAGCAAGCATCGTTTGTGAATACGGGCGTTAGTCATCATCTGGTCATTTTACTCTTCACTGCAATTCACAGCCCTTGAGAGGGTTCTCCAGAGGCAAATGGAATATTTTGCCTACATTCCCCACGTGGCCAGACGGGAGGCATATACGCATATTTGGCTCTTAGTAGCCTAAGCTCTTATTGCATCCATGGATGGGAAGAATGGGAGTGATCCTAACCACACGAAAATTGAGGAAAATCCCAGATAAATTAACTTTAACTGTGAAAATTCGTAAAATAAGTAATTATTTATCTAATTTTAAATCTAAATACTTACCCCATTAGAATGTTCCAGAAAATTTAGACCCAAATTCGACAGCGGCCTAAAATGACCCTTTTTAAACTACAACATCAAATTGAGACGTAACCACACATTACTTGAAACTGCTCTATTTTCAATCGAGTTCTAAGAATATTCCAGAATAAACTCCTGAAAGTGTCAATAGTTTTAATCAAACTTTAAAACGTCTTTTCCAAACGCTACTCCACTTTAGAGAAAAGTCAACAGTTTCGTTGCAAAAGTTCACGCTGTCCGAAACACGTAAAGTTTGCTCCGACATTAAATTATAAATTTTTGACGCTTCAGGCTTGCTCGAGGTCGTAAATAAACTTTTCAGATAATCCTCACTTTTGTTAATCCTTCATCAGATAAGAGCCGTTTTAGATTTTAATTTTAGGAGCGTAATAACTCGTGTTTACTCACATGACTATACGAACTTTCGTAGTTCGTAAGTATTATATTCCGTAGCGAAAAATTTATAAGCCCGTACTCACAAAATTACATGTCTTTTCCCTTTTTAATTTAAAAATTGAAGACAACTTTTTAACTGACGTTCCCTAGCTTTATAATCATCGAGATCAAGATCATTATTTTGTCTTGATTCTCTACAAATCGATAACATCCTGCTAGTTGGAAGATTGAAATAATTAACTAGGAGCTAGCTATATTACTTAACACAATTAAGTGGGCGTTAATTAATAACTTCGTCGTTACTGTCGGCACCCGGAAAATTCATTTTATTTTCTATAATAAAGCGCTTTGAAGCACCTCATTATAAATTGGAGCTTAGGCGTTGCAGAGCGCTGTATTTAAGTGTGCCTGGTATCTTAAATCTGTTCTATTTATTATGTTGGAAGCGCCCTACAAAATTAGGGAACGACATACACTAATTTACTCACGGAAGAATAGCTCAGGATCCGACTCAATGACGTAATTACATCTATGACTTAAAGGTGACTGTCTGACTAACTGACTGACTAACATAGTGATCTATCAACGCACAGCCCAAACCCCTGGATCCACGCGTACGAAAGCTGCTAGTTACTAAATAAAGAACTAATGATACTAATGATACTCTGACTGAAACCTGAACATGATCATCATTTCAATGGCAGTCCACTGCTGGACGCATCACAAACCATACTCTCTCTCTCTCTCTCTTTCATTTTCATCCATCTACTACCAATAATCAATCTTCTAAGGACTTTTGTCCATCAAACTGTAGGGCATCCATCAATATTTGCAGCGACGTAGTCTCCATTCAAGAACTCTTTGTCATTGATTCTGCGACAAATGTAGCAATTGTTTGCCAAACTATGCCGCTAATGTGCAATTACATGACGACGGTTAAGAATCAATACCATCTATCTCAAGTTTTGGCGGTTTTCACTTTTTAATGCCAATAGATTTAAAGTCCAATTTGGCACAGGTTGTTCACACTCTTATCTCAATATTCACAGTATTTCCAAAGTTATTTGCTATAGAAATACCACCTATGTTAAGAGCACGAAAAATTTTCTGCCAATATTGTCTATCTCTCCTCAAAGAATTATAGAAAGGTGGTAAAAAGTTACTTTATTCAGTATTTTTTACTTTCATTGTACAGTAGACGTGTTTCATTATATTTATAGCGTATGAGAACTTGATAATTGTAAGATGAAAATCAGAAATACATGA